TTTTATAAATAAACTGAATATTTTTATTTATCTTAAATAAATCATCATTTCAAATAATTTACATTGAACAATTTAAAAAAATTTTAGCTGTGTCAAGAAAAGTTCCAGTCGAAATACTTAAGCTGGCCGAGTGTGTTGCAGATGCAAGAGCGTTACTTCGGCATATTCTTTCCGATCAAATCCCGTTAAATACACTTCAGTCTTGCAATGCGCCACATAACATTTCCTCGACAACCTCTCTAATCAGCTTAGTTCACACAGTGCTTGAGGAATGTCATCAAACATTTCTAGGATGTTTTCATGCATTTTATCCAAGTTCTCAGTTGAAATGGAGAGGACTTTGTGATCTTTTATTAACAGTAGATGTGGTAAAGTATTTATTTTGTATTATTTACAACATTATATTGTAAACTGTGATAAATACGATATTTGAAAGTAATAAAAAGTTGTAAATATATTATAATAATTATAATTCATATCTCAATTATGTTATTCATTTAGACATGAGTTAAAGAAATAAGATAATAATCTAGCATAAATGAGAGGATTTTATGGATAGGTAGGGAAAAATTAATAGGGAGAACAGTATTAATAGTAAAATAAAAATTCAAAGTGGAAGTAATGCGTACAAAAGATCTTTTTGGAATTTGCCATATCTGCAAACTCATACATTGAATAATTCTGATACATAAATACTTTGTAAATGTGGCTCTGCACGTTCAGTATGAAACTACTCTGTGATGACCAATATTAAGTACATTCTCCCCACTTGATTTGCACAATATACTGACAAGGTATGGGAAATGGCAAATACCTGTACCAAATATTTGTCAAGTGAAGTGAGAGTGAATCATCCACACTACTTGATACTGACCAAATATTTGCCCAGCTTTCAGCAAATACTGGATTTGTGGATCTATCTTAACACAAATAACTCATATGTTTGTGATAAATAACTTGTTACTCTCACTGATGTCAAGAAGATATTTTTCAAATAATGTGAACAATGAACAAAATAAAAAAAAGGAATTTGTCTAGTATTGTCATTACTTTTATTTTGAATTTTTTAAAAATAGTATATTTTTATTACATATTTTATTGTTTATTTTACTACATATTTTTTATTTCTGAACAGATACAAGTGTTGTTTTTAATATATTTGTAGATTTAGTACACACATTTAAAAATATGTAAACAATTATGATTATTTTATAGGATTTCATTCTTTTGTAGCTACTTTTTTTGGCTGTTTAATTGGACTTATTGCACCACAATTAAATAGCCAAAAACGTAGCTATCAAATAATAAAATTCTACAGATAAAAGAACCAGAAGCTTTATGAATAAAAAAATAGTAATAATAATTATGATTTTGTTTTGGTTTTTTATAGCATTTATTTTAATTAATTTTTCTCATAATATATAATGCATAATGAATAAATGTTAATATATAATTATATATTTTAGCCTTGGGCAGAAGATTCAAGAGAGAATGATCATCTTTTAGCTGCTGTTTTAGCATCGTTATGTGGTCCTTCTATTCGTCTGACATCAACTCTTCCAATTAATTTGGATCAAGACATGATGACTGAAGGTATTGTTCCCACTACACCCGATGGAAGTACAGAAAATTCTATTCTAGGAAATGGACAAAATCAAGAAATGTCAATTGGAATTGGAAGTTGTGATAGTCTACGGTACCCAGTATTAACAGAATGCATGATAACGAGAACAGAAGTAAGATTCATTCTAAAAAAGTTTGTTATTATTTTAATTAAATAACTTTAACATAAACAAACAGGTTAACAGTTTATGCTAATATTTTTTTTAAATAAATTAACTTTAAAAATTTGAAATTTAATTCAATATTTTAAGAAAGTTCTAAAACTAAATATCATAAATAAATAAAAAACTCTAAAATATTAAAGTTTTACTCACAAATCACTTGTTGTTTGAAATTATGTTAATTAAATATATAAACTGTGTATCTTTTGTAGTTACTTAGATACAATGATATTAATATTCAGTAATGAGTTAGTAAAACAGCTGAGGCCACTAAGTTTTCAAATACCTTATTACAATATTATGATATGGTAAAAAGATAATACAGAAATAAATTTTAATAATTTGGAATATTTGAAAGTATATTGTACTAAATTTAGCATAAGCTGGCAATCTAATTATTTATCTTTAGACCAAATTGCTTTGAATGGCACAGCTTGTTTAAAGTGGCTTTTGTGAAAGCAACTTTAAACAACCTGTTAACTAGCCAATTGCTTTGAATTGATTATTAATAATAGCCAAGTTCTAACACAAAATTAATCCAACATAAATTGGTATTCATAGCTTTATTTCTTGACATATGTGATGATATCATTTATAGATTTTTATGCATTTATCTTCATGGTATTTTTCAGAATAAATGAACAGAAATTATTTTTTCACTGGATAGATAGAAATTTTATAAGCATGCTATATATAAATATTATAGATAAAGCTCTTATTGACTTGTTAAACATTGACTTTATACTGTATTTTGAAGACACATGGCTAATTTTCACCATTTATCTTTATTTAGTTGCCATGTGTCTTCAAAATACACTATAAAGTCAGTGTTTAACAAGTCAACAATATGAAAAAGGACAGTGTTTCAGAAAAAATACAGATAAAGCTCTTTTTAGTGAAAAATGTATTGAAAAACTATTTAAAGTAAATATTTTTTTTTTTTTTTGAGAAAATTATGATTTTCTTGATATTTTGTTCTATTTTATGTATGATGATAATTTTTAGTTACTAATTAATTAAAATATTGAAGAATGCTGTTAAGAACTTTGGATGCTGTCCTGTGTTCAGAAACTTGCTATATTATGGATGGAAAAGCAAGAAGTGTTTTGTTTTTTTTTCCTTTCTGATATTTAGAAAATTGTTTTTATTTTTTAGTTGGATATATTATGTTATATGTTTTATGAGAATTTCTTAAGTATTTGGCAACCAAGTAGTTTAAAAAGGAAGGTTGGATTGTCATGGAATATATTTTGGAACATCAAAATAAGTAAAAAAGTGACTGTCTTGATAGACACCTTTTGACTTTTCCAAAATTGAAAATATATTTTTTTCGTCTTACTGTTATAACAGTGTACCAATCTAAGATGTACACAATAAGGATTTTTCTGAGTTCTATATAACACTGTAATACTAGTATAAATTTATTTAAATTAATCATTGTTTTTTATGTGCAATCTGCCAGTGTCAAGTTTGTTCATCAGTAATATAGAGTAGAAAATATTTGTATAATTTTAAATATTATTTCATAAAATTAAACAGCACATGTTTTAATTATAATGTATACATTTCAATACAATACATAATTATATACATGAACAAACTGCTTCAAACAAATAATCAAATAGCAAATGTCTTTGCTAATTTATCATCATTACACCTAACAAAGCAAAGTCTGTAGCAGTGACTGTTTAGTTAAACTTGTTTTTTTCTTTCTGTTTGTGATTGAAGATTGAAGACTAGTCAAAAATGTTTGCATATTTCTCTAATATTTCAATCAAACAGTTCATTTCTATGTTCAGTTTATTTTTGAAATGTAACTTATTGTTATAATTATGTATATAAACCTATGGAGCAGAGCTGGCCAAACTTTGTTATGAAGTAGCCATGTATTGTCTGTCAGAAATATGATAGCCACATTTTCTGTTGAAACCATAATTTATATAATAGATATGTATTCCCATATATTTAATTATTATAATTAAATATGTGGGAGCCACAGTAAGGGTCTAGAAGGGCTGCAGTTTGGCCACTGTGGCTGTAGGGTTGATTTTATAGCTGAAAATATTATTAATATAAAAAATTAAATTATATTTAAAATTAAAAAATAGCTTTATAATCTAGAACACAATTATTCTAAACTTGTAATATGAAAGTAAAATTAAAAAAATATATATATATATATATATTTACAGAGAGAAGGATGCCATCCTGGACCATGTAGTTTTAAAGATGTTTTGGATCATCTTTTAACAATAGTTGTTCAACCTGTTAAAGTAATGTTGAGACAGGTAAACTTTTTCTATTCAATCAATAACATTTTTTAGATTATTTTGATAATATAAAACTAAAATTAAACACAACAAATTTGTTAAAATATTTTTTGATATAAACTTACATGATAGTGACTTAGAATAATCAAGAAATTACTGTTCACTAATACAATAAAAATGTTAGCTTCTATAGTATATACTAGGGGTGGCTAAAAATTGACATGCTAGGAGCAATATATTGCTTATTAGTGATACTAGAGCTGCATCCTCTATTAGAATCTTATACTTATGTTAGTAGTATGTACCAAGTTTGTAAGAAAAATTATATAAGCGTTTGAAAGCTGAATAAGGCTGTAGAAGAGATCAATTTGACCACCACAGGTATATACTACTATAGAAACTACATACATTGTATTTTAAATTGTAAGTTTTAATGTCATGCATCCATAGAAGTTATTAAATGATAATGACAATTTCTGTATTAAGTATGAAAGTTTTTAATACGTTTCTTATCATAATCATAATGTTGAATTATTGAGTTCATATAAAGTCACCTCTATGCAAATATCAGTCCATTAGATGTATAATGCTTGAATAAAAGATGATATATTTTTAACTCAAGTTATATAAAGTTTCAAGAGCCCAGTAAAAAAGCAATTTTACTTAAATGCAGAAATCTTAATTTAACACTATATGATTTTTTTTTTTTTTTTTCTTTTAAGCTACTAAGCTTTATTTGAATAAAACTTAATTTAACTTTTAGACAAAATGAATCTTGGTTTCACTTTTATTTGAAGGTGAAGCTTAAAAGCTTGAAAAAAATATATAGTGTAACATTTGAATAATGTTAGTTTTTCTATACTGTGCTATGTAGCAACGATGCCCAAACTGTGGCTCGTGAGCGGCATGTGGCTCTTCAAGAGCTTAATTGTGGCTCAATTAATAAATAAAAAATGTTTGTTATTTTCTAAAATTTTATTACAAACATCACAAATTCATAAACCTTCAATTAGCAAAGAGTAAATTAAAAAAAAATGTGATAACTATGTAAAAATTATGAAAATAAATCCATTTTAATTCTGAAATTTTTTTATTTTTATACCAAGAACATTAGGTATGGCTCCCAATATTTTCAAATAGGTAACTAGGGCTCTTACAGCAAAAAGTCTGGGCACACCTGCTATGTAGTATTGTACTTCTATGCTAAAATATAGTATATATAGTATAATAAGTAAAAGTATTGTTTACTTAGTTTTTAGACTTTCTATTAAGTACTCTAGCAGCTGATACTATTTTATACATGATGTCTAAAACTTACTCTAAAGTGAGAAATTTGTAATGGCATCAAAGTTATATATCCAATATTGCATACAAGACCTGTAAGTTATATGCAATATTGTATGTATAACTGGTCAAGTGGTACTGAATGTACAACTTAGTTCTTGTATGCAATATTGTTTATATATAATTTAATGTCATTACTATTTTCTCATTGTAGAGTAACTTTTCAGATATCCCGAATGTTCTTACTTTATAATTATACTAGCAGACCCCGCCACGCCTTGTTGTGGCTCAAAATGTATCTATTATAAATGTATAACACTTCCCCCGTGGGGGAAAATTTTTCGAAAAATTTTTTCTTAGTGTACATTCTCTTGACGTACCCTATTAAAACGCAATCAAAAGCGCAAAAACCCGCATCTAAAATAGTATAATAGAAGCCAAGTTTTTCACAGTAAGCCTTAATC